CCCAGATCCGGGCGTTTTCCTACCAAACCGCTCCAGATCTGAGAGTAGACCCATCATAGTTTTAAATATATTATTATTTTTTTACATGTAAATATTTATTATTTATTATCTAACTAATAAATAATATTGATTTATCTCTTTAAGAAATATTTATTATCTATTTTTTTTCTTACATAATATAATCTAAATTTGGTTATTAGAATTTTAAATTCAAAAATTTAAAGGAAAAGATCACAGAGAGATTTTTTGGGTAAATTTTATTTTATCTTGATTTTTATATATTCACATTTCTAACACACTAATTAATACTACCTCCTTTTTTAAATAAATGTCGTTTTGACTTTTTTTATTCATCCATTTTGCTATGTATCTAGACATTAATATGTCTAGATACATAGCAAAATGGATGAATCAAAAAAGTCAAAACGACATTTATTTAAAAAAGGAGGGAGTATTATATTTTGTATCTACATTATATAACTGATTTTTAATGATATAATTAATATAATATCTTAACTAATTAATTATTTATCTAACTAAAATTATCACTCTGACAAATATATTATTTATCTAACTAGAATTAATATAATTTCTTACGGAGATACTTACCAATATATTATACATTTAGAAACTTTTTTGAAAAAATGAGTTATACCTCCTTTTACATTATTTTAAATTCTAATTTTTATTTAAATATATTATTGTTTATTTTTTCTTACGCTATAAATTTTTATTGTTTATTATCTAATAAATGATAAATACTATTGATTTGTCTCTTTAATAAATGTTTATTATTTAACTTTTTTCTTACGTGATATAATCTAAATTTTGTTATTAGATTTTTAAATTTAGACATTTAAAGGAAAAGATCACAAGCAGAGTTTTGGGTACATATCATTTTATCTTAACTTCCATATAATCACATTCCTAACAAACTAAATAATACAATTACAATTATCTAACTTGAATATTTCAACTATAATTAATATAATATTTTAACTAATTAATCTTTTGTCTAACCGAATTTATCATATTAACAAACTTACCAAAATTTTTGAAATTAAAACTAGTGTGGTACCCGTGCGATGCACGGCGGGCACATAACTAAAAACATATTGAAATACCTATTCAAATGTAATTAATTAAACTTAACATTTAATTATGCAAAACATAATTAAAAAAAATTAACTCGTTTATATTATATGAAAAAAAAAAGTAGCATATAATTCTCAACTCCTAATTTCATTTCAAAATCTTCATTATAATAAATTTTATTATTAACATAATAAAATATAATACAACCACTAATATTTTTGGTATACATCGAGTAATATTTAATACAACAATATTAATTTTTCAAATTTTAGTTACACAACAATATTTAATACAACCACTAATAGATACATATAGGATAGAAAATATTACCTCTTCATCTTCAAATATGATAGCACAAAATTTTTTTTGTCTCCAATTCGTAATCGGTATCAACAAGTAGAACTGTTTTTAATTTAAAAAAAGGTTTGTTCACCCTAGTAACCGCGTGGAGTCTGTCAAACACCGGTCGCATTATTTTTTTGTAATCACGTGTGTTTATGTATCTTGCAGGATGATTTCAGAAGAGAATTGAAGAAGCAAATGTAAAGGAATGTACTCCTTTATACAAGAGTCTAGAAATTTGTTTGTAATTGTGTACTATTTTATGTAAAAAAACTCATCTCATCCCACCCCAAAAAAATGAAAAGCGAGTAAAACAAAAAAGGTGCAAAATCGGATTTTGAAAAATGTAACAAATCTTATCTCAAATTCCTTCCCATCCAAGAATTAAGGAAATGATATCAATCCTATAAATAAGGAGTTAAAATAGGTAAAAAAAGGTGAAATAAATAGAGTAATAAAAATCAGAATTTCGAAAAAACCAATGATCCATGCACGAACCATGCATTTAAAAGTATGCACGTAAAAGAGGCGGAAAAATAAAAAATTCCAATTTTTTTTTGGACGGAAAAACCTAATTAAAAATTTATTTTTTCTTAACTCTATTTTATAGTAATAGATAGTAAGATTATTCTTATGGGTATACTTACCATAATATTAAACACTTTAAAAATTTTTTGAAAATAAATTTGAATTATTTTGTCTTCTACTCTATTTGAATTTAAAAATTTATTTTTTAAACATATTCATAAATATTATTATTTATTTTTTTCTTATGTGATATAATCAAAATTTATTGATTAGATTTTTATATTCAAATATTTAAAGGAAAAGACCACGAACATATTTTTTTGGTTATATTTCATTTTATCTTAACTTCCACATAATCACAATCCAAACAAACTAATTAGTATAATAATTTTTTACCCACACTTATATAATCGAATGTCTTAAAATATAATCAATATAATATTTTAACAACTTAATCATTTGTATAACTTGATTTAACTCATTAAACAAACTTGCCACTTTTTTTTTTTTAAATTTAAAAATTGGATGATTTCTATTTGTAAAATATAAAAAAATAACTTTACTTTAAAGTTTGGATTCTTTCCATTATTTTTTGTACGTTAACAATCATATATTGGATAATTGATTTAGAAAAAAAAATCAAAACCGTAAAGTTTAATAATATTCGTTAAATAAAAAATACTGTATAAATAGAAGTTTTTAATAATATATATTTTAATAATTTTTATTTATTTATTTTCATAATAGAGAGATGTGAAAAATATAATTAATTTAATTATTCCTCCCTATATATGAATTCAAAACGTGTTGAGCATAGGTGGCAAATTCTCACGCTTCGGATGCTGACATGACGAAAATCTATGCTTCGTGATATTGTTTTTATATTATTTTTGCTCTGGAGTTAGGTTTTGTATTAGACATAAATAACTTTACACATATATTCATGAACTCAATACCCATGTTGTACATGAGTATTAATACTAGTTTAAAATAAATCTAAAATTTTTTTAATATGATGAGCTCTAGATAAACACTTATATATATAAACAATTTATAAACAATTTCTAGATAAAAAATTTTGCTGCTTTTGTTGGTTTTGTTTGGTAGTTTTGTATTTTTATTTGGTAGTTTTGTATTTTTATTTGTAGGTTGTGTTGTTATTGTGTTTTTGGTTTGGACCTTTTGGTCTCTGTGCCTCCGAGGGTCAATTTGTGTGTCTGAGTGTCACTTTATTACCCTGTTGGGGTCCGACACTCGGGTATTACCCTGTTAGGGTCTAACTCTCGGGTATTACTCTGTGGGGGTTTCGTAGTTGTTTTAGTAGTGTTTGTTGTTTTTTATTTTAGCTTTGCTAGTCGGTATTCTAGGCGGTCTTCGGAATTGTCTTTCCTCTTTTTTCAGCTGTTGTCTGCTGTGTATTGGCGCATTTGCGCTTTTTGATTTATAATATCTTCTATCGTTTCCGAAAAAAAAAAAAAAAATATAAACAATTTATAATATATATTTACATGAATGCACAGGTCAAATACGGAAATAGAATAGGGGCTCTTATGTCTTGCAACAAATCAGAATACATCTTTTTGGCTTTTGCACTTTCTTCCCATCCCTTCCCCTCTCTGCCCATCATAGAAATTCCCAATCCAAATCCAGACTCGGCTGCTCCTCACTCTCCAAACCCCATATCCGGAAGCATAATTAGGGTTTTCCACTCGAATCTGACTGTCGCCGATGGCCGAAGTTCTGGACGCTTCAGAGGAAAACCTTGACCGACGCCGAGAAAGAAACGCTAGCACTGACAATCCCTCGGTCGCAGCCCCTTCCGATGCTGCTCCCGAAGCCGCATCGCCGCCTCCTCCTCCTCCGCCCCCGCCACGCCGAGGCAACCGAGACCGTGGGCGTGACTCTAGAGAGCGGCGTGACGACCGGGACTTTGACCGTCCTCCTCGGCGCGAGTACTACGATCGGAACCGATCCCCGCCCCCACCGCCGCCGCGCGAGAGGGACTATCACAAGCGCGGCAGGCTGAGTCCCAGCCCTCCACCGCCGGCTTACAGGGACCGACGCCCGCATTCGCCTCCTCCAAGGAGATCGCCCCCGTACAAGCGGAGGAGGGACGATAGTTATGATGGAAGGAGGGGAAGTCCCAGAGGAGGACACGGGCCAGGGGAGAGAAGGTGAGCATTGGGTTTGGGTACAGTGGCTTATGCCTGTTACTTTCTTGCTACTTGAGTAGTTACCCATTTGTACATGGGTTCGAAGGTGTTAATCCAAATTATAATACAGTTGGTTGTTATGAAGTTACTTGTATAGGCATGTGCTTATTGCATTGGTGTGTATGGTGTATTTGTACGGAAGGCAATTGTATGCATACTTCTAACTCTACGTTCCATGATTATCTTTTTTGCACAAAATATAATGAACTCATAACATTTCTGTACAGATTGTAGAGAACCTGTATACATGATTTTTTTTTTTTTTGCACAAGATACTAAAATTTGAGATATCAAAAAGTCTCATTAAAAATTCATGAGGTGTTTAATTTACTTATCACTTGGATTTGTCTAGATTTTATAAGACTTTATGAGATTTTAAAAACGAAAACTATATACGAAATCCCACGTCAAATCCCATCCTCTCCAGACATAGGATTTCCAGGGGTTACTCTTAAATATGATAATATTGAAAAATCTCAGATTTCAAAAAGTCTTAAAATGTCACTTAAAATTCCAAAGAGATACACTCTCCTTGATTTTTTTTATCAAGATTTAAATACCTGTACCGTCAACACAATCCAGTATTCATGTTATGAACATTGCCCACGACTTCTAGTTTAGGCCTTTTTGTCAGTAGTGGCAATGCAATCATAATATTCCTTGTAATAGCAGACTCATATACTGATTTATTTAGTCTACACTTGTGTATTTACATGAGTGGTTTGTATAAATACATATTCAAATATGTAGAGTCCTCTCATTCACACATGTTCTGCTGCTGCCTGCTAAAGTGCATCCCTTTTTTGCTTGATTATTCGTTGTCTCGTGTTAATTCCTTTACTGTGCAATGAAGGGCTTATGTTTTGGTGTCCAGGAGGTTGTAATAACTTTCAATGTACCCTTTTTGTTCTTCAGATTTGGGTATGATTATCCCGGTGGGTACGAGCGTGATACTGGGGGTAGATATCACGATGAAAGGCCTCATGGTCGAAACATGGGCCGTGGTGGCTATCAAGGTGGTCCATCTGGCAATCTCACAGGACTTGTTGTTATGCCATTGCTGAGTATTTTAGCATTTGCTCTGCATTTTCTGCTTAGATATCCAGTACTTGATTAGTATTCGTTTTTGCTTCTCATTCTGGTGATATCGTTCATTTCTGTTATCATTTTCCACCCATTATTGTGGTGTTATTGTCCTCTGATAGCATATGAACTGCTGTAGAAGCTTTAGTCATTGCATGATCCGTGGTTCAAGCTTTTAAGTTTGCAGCATATTTTGTTAGCCTAAACCACTTATAGACTCTCAGGTAGTTTCTTGTGTCGTTGTTGCTTTAAATCTGTTGGAGAGCTTTTCCATGCTGTGGTTTATGTATAATTTTCCTTTGGTCCTCACTTTGCAGATTGGGGTTCTGGTCGTGGTGGTTTTGCTGATGCTTTTAATGTGGGGGGAATCCAAAGGTGTGTATCATACTATGTTATTTATCTTAGTGTTGATATGTTGACAGGGAACCATTGGGCCACGTTCAAATGTTCGTGCTAGCACCTTCAGTTATTGTGATATCTTTTATTAGTCCGTATGCTTACCTGTAAATTCACGAGCACACACACACACACACACACACACACACACACACACAT